TTAGCGAGCACCTATGAAGGCCGGAACGGTACACGAGGGGGTGGGTGGCCAGCACCACGTCCGGCCGCCTTTGTCTCCCCAGTGGTTATGTTTACACACCACAGCAGGTACTCCTTTAAGGCTAAGGCGACCTAGGGGAGGACCACGACCGGTTCAGATAATCGTCACTGGTGTTGGCCGTGAGCAGGAATCGAACCCGGATCGACAGGTTCATAGCGCAGCTCGCTAACCGATACACCACCGCTCCCCACACAGACAGACACACACAGACAGACACACACAGACAGACACACACAGACAGACACACACAGACACAAACACAGACACAAACACACTCACAGACACAGATACAAACACACAGACACAAACACACACACACAGACTCGCAAGTAGCTCGTACAACACCAGCACCACGTTTGCACCATTGTCCCACTGAATGGCCACTTTTCACACAGCGTGGGGAGATTATGCCCAACCCCTGTGTCTTCTTTTGAACCCTGACTTAGCTCTGCCGTCTGTTACACAGTTCCACGCCAACACCCCCTATTTGCCCCTGACCACAGCAGCTGCCTGTCAGTCTGTGCGTGTCTGCATGGCCGTGTGTCTGTGCGTCGTCTGTCTGCACATTTTTGTCTGTGTGTGCCTGTTCCGTGTATTTCTACGCGTCTGTTGTGTGCGTGTCAATGTGTCTGTGTTACGTGCCCGGTGTGTGTGTGTCAATTGAGTGCAGCATGTGTGTGTCTCTATGTCACGATGTATCCCGAGCATCAACGTTTCGCCTGTGTGCTTGTCCAAGTGTCTGTATTTCTCTCTGCGTGACCATCCATCTGTGTCCGTATGTGTGAGTGTGAATTTGTGCATCCGTGTGTCTGTCCTGCGTGTGCATGTGTGAGCATTTGTGTATCGGGTTTTTGTTTGGTCATTGTCTGCATTCTTGACTCTTTGCCATAGAGGGCAGCACCGCTTTCCATGCGCACATCAACTTTCTAAACTACAGCTCCATACATTGGTGGCATTTAAACAAGATTGTGCTTAACACTGGGGCGCAGACGATGCATTGACTGCGTAGACACCGTTAGCAGGTGGGTAGGTTACCGCTTAATTTAAAAGCATTGGAGGATTGTTACCAAACCACAAGAGGTCTGCATTATACAGCACGCACTGATGGAGAAGACACACACAATACCTAACTGTTAGCGAGCACCTATTAAGGTCTACACACCGAGTTTAAAAAAACACGTGTGTGTGTGTCCCATCTCGGAAACCGAATACACCGTGTACTAATTTTAGGCCGAGTTGACCTAGGGGATACGAGCACGAAAGAGGCTGGGCACAGGACACCAATTTGCCACCGGTAAATGATGTGCATGGCCAGAGATTGGGACGACGCCGCGGTGGCTAGGAGATGTTAACTACCTCGTCTGGTGTACAGGAGGTCGTGGGGCCGATCCCGACCCTGACGATGCCTGCTGCTGCTGCTGTATATTTGGAGTTTGCGTCTCTCATCATCACGGTGGCTAGGAGATGTTAACTACCTCGCCTGGTGTACAGGAGGTCGTGGGGTCGATCCAGACTCTGACGATGCCTGCTGCTGTATATTTAGAGTTTGCGTGTCTCTCTCCCTGTGATCGCATGGATTTGTATCCGAGTCATCCGGTTTATCCCTCCACATTTAGAATAAAAAGTGCGTTTAGAGTATTTGGCCTCTGTCAATTTCCACGTGGAAAGCCACCGCGTTGAGCAATCCTTCGCGATGGGCATGTTGCTCCTTGAGAACAGCTGTATTGCTCAGTGGGCATTAACCTGCTAAAACAGAACATTGTCGAGTTTATATAACGCAGGGCAGTAGGTGCAATGTTAAGACTCTCGCACGCAATTTATCGACAAACACGTGGTTACACACAGAGTCATGTCCACACTACCCTACCCTATTAATGTATTGCATAACCACGTTTCATACTCCGGTTTTGTAAATGAATCCATGTTGGAGGGCCGTTTATATGAAATAAACTTGATTTCAAAACGGCAGCTGCTTGTGCTAATGGTTATGTAATCGTTACCGAATCTCTTTAGAAGACATATACTCGTGTGCATAGACGTGCGTCTTCAATAATGCAATGGGATTTCCATATAGGGGATGGCACGGTATTGCAACTCCTACTTGTATATTTCCATCAGATGTCTTAGATTCTGTCTCGAGGATCCGTGTTTTAATGTGTCAGAATCGTTGCCGATTCTGACACATTAAAACACGTTCATGTGAACACACAGAGAAAACAAGACTCATAATGTATTTATACAGATTAGACGATCAAGGTCCCTGACCTTACAACGCATTACAGCTCTGTACTGTATTGTGATTACATGATTCTACAGTGTGTGTCGTATGAATAGTGTCTGAATGTATGAATCTATAGTGTAGTGTGTGTGTACGGTATATAGTGTACATCAGAACTGTGTTATGCAGTGCAAATCGAGTTTGTATTTCTCCAACCATTCCAGCATGTGGTGCATTTCTAAATGTCGGTGTGCTGTATATGTACAATAGCAGGCTTGTAAAACAACATTGTGTACATTTTGTATGCTTGTTTCTCCATGTAATACACCCTGCATCGTGATGCTCCAGTCTGCAAAATTACGTGTATATGTGTGTGTGTGCTTGCTTGCACAACACATAAGACGGACAAGGCTATTGCTTTCATGGTAAGCCTTGTTAAGATAAATGCAGCACGTACAGAATAAGTAAACACAGACATATATACTGCGTAAAGTGTAACGTTATCAAATACATATGCAGGACTAATACATTAATAGGCTCGTTGGGAATTTATAGGGTAACGTCAGTATGGGACTGTAAGGCTACTGTCATGACGGTGATAGGTGTTATGTATTTACAATAATATTACTGGACATTGTGTATAATATAACGTGGCTTGTACAGCTGTCAGATTGCAAAGCATTGTCAAAATTGTGTTCCCAAAGCGTGCACTGTTGGCTCGTGTATTAGCGTCAACGTTGATACTGCCCAATGCCACCACCGATACGCTTATTAAAAGACAGGGTAGCGCTATTGTTTAAGTGTGTACAAGACATGTGATGGCAATAGTGCACAACATTGTATGTAGGAAATCATGGCGTACACACACACACATATACACACACATATACACACACACATACACACACACATATACACACACACATACACACACACATATACACACACACATACACACAAACACACACAAACGCACACATACATATACACACGCACACATACGCACACACAAATACACACACGCACACACACACACACGCACATATACACGCACACATACATGCATACACTACGGATATTAAAGTATTTTAGAGGCAGTAACATTGGTAAATGTGTGCATGGCTTGGATGTTATATAGGAGTAGAACGTCACGTTGTCAATGTACCCATTGTTAGTGCATATGATAACATACACCAAGGAGATAGATGTGGTTGTCGTGATCACATTTGGTATATATAAACACCGTAATTTAGACGTCACAAATATAAAACATTCTCAACACATTGTACATACAGCCGATTGTTTTATTGTATTGTATACTGCATGGACAGCGGTACTGTATCGACATGTAGGCCTATGCAAGAAGGAATCAATACACACACACATTGCTGTACTATGTACTACAATGTGTTATATAAATTAACACCGTAATGGTATATACACTGGTATACACAGTACTTTAACCGTGCACCGGATCAGTGTTTTAAAGTGTGCATTTGTGCTACTATACACCACATTGCATCAACCTTACTGACTACAGCATCGTGTGTCTTTACAACGCACAGCGCAACTATGCCGTCAATGAGTACACTGTGCGTGCACTTCATCACACAATCTCGCAACAGAGGAAGAAGAGAACCGGGCAGGTGAGACATTGTGTACAACACAGACGCACAGGATCACACATTATTACCAGGTGGCACAACCAATGTGAAACACACGATAATAACAACACGTTGCCATTTGGCACGCATTGGGGCGCTAATAACAATCCCGATGATCGCATCACAGCAAATGCTGCAAGTCGATTCGACTGTTCATATTCGATAAGTTACGCACACTTTCACTTATCAACTGCTCCTCGTCATATACATTCATTCATAAATATATACAGATTTAAAAAAAGAAACACAATCAGCAAGCGAATACAATTCAGATGAATGAATATACTTATAGTCTACAAATTCGTACATCATCCACACATCATTTTAATTTCTGCAACTAGGAATCATCATCATCACCATCACACAATAGCCCTTCAGTAATGCTGTGTGACTTGTGTCTGCACACTGTTAAGTCCCTCTTCGTATGGCCGCTTATTGATGTCGAACAAATCTAGATTTAAATTGAAGTGGTTGCTGCCTTCCAACAACCCTCCTGCTCACTTCTCTCAGACCACACAAACACCACACACACACCACACACACACCACACAAACACCACACACACACACCACACACAAACACCACACACAAACACCACACACACCACACACACACCACACACACACCACACACACCACACACACACCACACACACACCACACAAACACCACACACACACCACACACACACACCACACACACACACCACACACAAACACCACACACACACCACACACACACCACACACACCACACACACACACCACACACACCACACAAACACCACACACACACCACACAAACACCACGCACACACCACGCAAACACCACACAAACACCACACACACACCACGCACACACCACACACAAACACCACACATACACCACGCACACCACACACACACCACACACACCACACAAACACCACACACACACCATACACAAACACCACACACACACCACACAAACACCACACACAAACACCACACACACACCACACACACACCACGCACACCACACGCCCGATAGATTTGCGAAAAACACCGGCACACAAATGTACCTGGACCCCCGTCTTGCAGGGTGCAGGGCAGGCAGACGATGTTGCTGGTGGTGATGATGATGATGGTGGTGTCTTCTTGGCTTGATATATTCCAGAGAAATGAGTTCAGAGGATGGCACTTACTGGCACACACTGAACGCGCAACACACTGAACGCGCACACAAGCCGCGGTGCCTAGCTGTCCCCTAACCCCCCTCCCCTTCTCGCAGGCGACACACGACAGAGAGGGAGAGACACACACACACAATGCGACCGGTGTCCCCTGCCACTGCTTCAGTGTTGTGTATCACGAGACCGTGGAGTAGTCAATGTGTGTGTGTTCGTCAATGCGCGTTGTGTTCAACACGCGCGCCCAGCCGACGGGGAGGCGACACGCAACGGTGATGAGACGCCGCACGTCCCGAGCACATGCAGCCTACGAGCGAGTGTGTGTGTGTATATCTGTGTGTGTGTGTATCTATATGTGTGTATGTATGTGTGTGTATCTGTGTGTGTGACGTGTACAACGTACAATAATAGTGCGATCTAAATTGGCGAGCTGGGGAACAGCTCTTCCGCAATCACGGCTTCGTCTTCCGTGCCCATTGCTGCACGACTGGCGAATTTCCCATCGGCGGCAGTGGTGGTGGTTGTGGTTGTTGGTGGTGGTGCTGGTTGTTGTTGTTGGTGGTGATGGTGGTGGTTGTGTGCCTTGCCCGGCGGTACGCTGCGCGCCTCTGTGCGCGTGTGTTGAACACTTGCCCGCAAAGTCTATCTCTCTCCCTTAGCCAGCGCTGCGTTCGTGTGCGTAAGTTGTGTGTGTGTGTAAGTTGTGTGTGTGCATAAGTTGTGTGTGTAAGTTGTGTGTGTAATTTGTGTGTGTGTGTAAGTTGTGTGTGTAAGTAAGTTGTGTGTGCGCGTCCTACGGTGGTGCATAAGGTGGAGAGAGCGAGAGAGAGAGCGAGAGAGAGAGCGAGGTGCACGGCGTCTGGTGACGGCTGCGTTGTGTGCCGCGTGCCGCTGGCGGTGTGGACGCGTCCACGTCCGCGGTGCGGTGACGAGGTAAGGGGGCGGCTGGGAGGAGGAGGAGAGAGGAGGAGGAGAGAGAAGGAGGAGGAGGAGAGAGGAGGAGGGGAGAGGAGGAGAGAGGAGGGGAGAGAGGCTCGGCCGAGAGTGCGAGCGGACCAGACTGGAGCGGCTTTGCTGCGTGTGTGCTCACAGCACCACCACCACCACTACCCTCCCCCCACTACCACCACCACTCTCCGCACGTCACACTCGCCCTCATTAGCATAGGAACTCTCCTCCCACTGCCTCTCTCTGTCTCTCTCCCCCGAGCCTTCCCACACGGCTCCTTCTCTCTCTTCCACAACCCCTAACCACACATCTCTCTCTCTTCCACAACCCCAACCACCCATCTCTCTCTCTTCCACAACCCCAACCACACATCTCTCTCTCTTCCACAACCCCAACCACACATCTCTCTCTCTTCCACAACCCCTAACCACCCATCATCTCTCTCTCTTCCACAACCCCAACCACCCATCTCTCTCTTCCACAACCCCTACCACACATCTCTCTCTCTCTCTTCCACAACCCCAACCACCCATCATCTCTCTCTCTTCCACAACCCCAACCACACATCTCTCTCTCTTCCACAACCCCTAACCACCCATCTCTCTCTTCCACAACCTCTAACCACACATCTCTCTCTCTTCCACAACCCCTACCACACATCTCTCTCTCTCTTCCACAACCCCTAACCACCCATCTCTCTCTCTCTTCCACAACCCCAACCACACATCTCTCTCTCTTCCACAACCCCAACCACCCATCTCTCTCTCTTCCACAACCCCAACCACCCATCTCTCTCTCTCTTCCACAACCCCTAACCACACATCTCTCTCTCTCTTCCACAACCCCTAACCACCCATCTCTCTCTTACCACAACCCCTAACCACCCATCTCTCTCTCTTCCACAACCCCTAACCACCCATCTCTCTCTCTTCCACAACCCCTAACCACCCATCTCTCTCTCTTCCACAACCCCTACCACACATCTCTCTCTCTTCCACAACCCCTAACCACCCATCATCTCTCTCTCTCTTCCACAACCCTAACCACACATCTCTCTTCCACAACCCCTAACCACCCATCATCTCTCTCCACTTCTCTCTCGCACACGTGCACACGTGCTGTCACCGTATTCTCCCGATTAAAAGACGCTCCCGAAAGTAAGACGCCACCCGCACCCAACAAACTTCCCCTCCCAGTAAAGTGGAACACACACATACATACACACACACAAAAGTGCCAACGCTTGGGCCGTGGCAACTTTGAGCCAACGTTGGGCCAACGTTAGGCCAACGTTTTGCCATGTGGTTGGAAAGCGTTGCTTCTGATGAAAGAGCCTCAGAACTCAGTGGGCCTTACCTGGTAAAAAATAATAATTAAAAAAAAATAATCTTTGTTTTTTTTCGGTAAAGTCACTTAGAAATAAGAAAAAATAAAATTACATAATATACGACGTTTTTTAAAAATATCTAGTTTATTTAAGTTGCACAAACGTTGGCCAAATGTTCCGTGTTTCCTGGGTTTATGCAAAGTTATGCAAATATAGTTACACGCATTCACCCACCGCAATTATAAGACCCCCAACTTTTTCTTTAAATTACGTGAACAAGGGGGGAGGGGTGGTGGTGCAACCATTGCGTCTTATAATCCAGAGAAAACGACAATTCTAGAATAGAAACATGCACGAGAAGTTTCACGGTCTGTGCCCCAGCCCCAAAGAGGTAATTTGTACCACACACTCACACGCACGTGTACAGCAATCATTTTCGGGCCAAGGTACTGTTAAAAGCGTACACAGCATCATTTAGAATTATTTGGCTACTAGAAATGTCCACGTGATAAGCCGGTCCGTTGAGCTATCATCTGTGATGGCCAGATCGCTTCTGAAATATAAGGTACCCTGGCGTCTACAAACTAAGTTGCCTCTGTGGTAGTAGTTACATTGGAGAAACCAAACGACATGTCTCGGACCGCATCCGTGAACACAAAGCAGACCTAAAACACGGTAGGACCAACACCTCGGCCGTGGCAGATCACTGTTATAATTCAGTAGGCTCACATGACATTGACTTCTCCAAGACAGAGGTTATCTGCAAGCCATCTGGCTACCATGAGAGATTCGTTCATGAGGTTATCCACATATACAAAACACAGAGACAATTTCAACCGAGAAGATGGATTATGGCTTAGCAATCATTGGAAGGATTTGATCAACCATTTCGGGACTTAATTGATTGTTCACGCTTACGGTGGCTTTCAGACCGCATCCATGATTTTTGTCTCCCCCCTCCTCTTTTCCGAACATAGATGGACTCGTCCATCTAAATAACTGCCAAATCGCTCTCCGTGGTGCTAACTTAAAAAAAAACCGCCACCTTTTTAAAATGTTCTTGTTGTGGTTTTCACACCTGATGATGATTGCTTCTTGGGTTTCAGTCGAAACGTCGTGAGAATTTTATTGTTTTATATTTTTATTATTTTATTGTTCCCCTTCTACGTGACTTTACCGAATGATCCAAGAATATGAATCCCTGCAGTCACGAAAGCTTTAAATAAAAAATGCATAAACTCATTTATATGTATAGAGCGCCTTCACTCAAGGCGCTTGACATAGCTTACAAAACGGTGACACTAGACTGATTTAGATGGCAGGGGCGTGCTTCAAGGATTGAGGAATGAGTGACAGCAGTGATGGAGGGGTGCTTAGGGATCACGAAAGGGCTACAGGGGAGGGACGAGAAGGGATGGAGGGGAGCGGAAGAGAATGGTCGATGGATAAGAGGTGGTGAGGCTTTAAGAGAGGGACTGAAGGAGGTTAAGGAGGGGGCACTGGTGAATACACAAGGGAAGGAGGTTTAATTTATTTGCTCAGCACAATATTTGCAAAAAAATAACGACACTTTATCATGCAATGGAAAGCACGTGTACGTGTGTGCGGTATTTATATAAAAGAGGAGGTTCAATGAATGAATGAATTGTGGATGGAAAAACACGTTTAAGTCTCAAACATAAAGCACCCTAGCGATTTAAAAAAAAAGGTGATGCTCAACATGTGTTACCTGCTCTTAGGCACAGGGCTAACCGCTATAATGTACAGGTGCGCCTATAGTGGGATGGGTCATGTATCAAGGCAAAGAGCGGACTGCCTGTTTGTGTTGGCAGTTGGGAACCCACTACCATTGCGTTCCCATCAATGAGAGGCCCATATTTATAGCCAGGTGGAAGCCCATTACGACGAGAGTCTCTTACAGTGGAGACTTGGGATAACGAATGAATCCCAGTGGCTCGCCACCTGGTAAAACAGAGGCCGCGGTTATTTATTCGCGAGTGCGGCCGTTTCTCGTCTTCTTCCTTTGTAAGATCCGCTGGCGTTTCGGCGACAGCTGTTGCGTTCGACGAGGCGCGTGTGCGGAGGTACCAACGAGTGACACGGAACAGGGCCCCCGCGTGAAGGCCGTCTGTGTCTGGCCCCTAAGCAAACGCAGTGCGTCCAACCACCCCCCAATCTCTAGACCATCCTATACCCTCCGCCGCCTCTACAGCCACACAGACACAGGCTAGGAGGCAAAGCAGAGCAATAATAATAGTTTAGTATATGCCAGGGGTAAATGAGTTTGTGTGCAAGCGCTAGGAGGAGTATTACATCACGTGATAATGGGAGGTGGTGGCGACTTAAAAAGCCCCCATCCAGCAGTGGATTGACCATGGCTGATGGTGATGATATACTAACTATACTTCTGAAAAATGGAGATACTGTGTGTGTGTGCGGACCCAAGCCACCATCATCGTCATTGTGATCTATAAACTAAAATGACTAAACTAAACTATTAACTATTTTTATTTTACCAGGCTAGGCCCACTGAGCAATAACACTCTTTTTCAGAAGCGATCTGACTACAAATGATAGCTCAACGAAGTGGCTTATTGTGTGGAATTTGCAGCAGCCAAATACTCTAAACGCATGTTTCTAAATGTGGAGGAAAAAAAACGGAGAAAAATCCTCGCGACCACAGGGAGAGAGACACGAAACTCCAAATATACAGATGTAAGGGTCGGGTTCGAACCCACGACATCCTTCATACCAGGCGAGGTAGTTAACGTCTACAGTGAGGGAAAACAGTATTTGATCCCCTGCTGATTTTGTACGTTTGCCCACTGACAAATAAATGACCAGTCTATCATTTTAATGGTAGCTTTATTTGAACAGTGAGATACAGAATAACAACAAAAAAATCCAGAAAAACGCATGTCAAAAATGTTATGAATTGATTTGCATTTTAATGGGGGAAATAAGTATTTGACCCCTCTGCAAAAACATGACTTAGTACTTGGTGGCAAAACCCTTGTTGGCAATCACAGAGGTCAGACGTTTCTTGTAGTTGGCCACCAGGTGTGCACACATCTCAGGAGGGATTTCGTCCCACTCCTCTTTACAGATCTTCTCCAAGTCATTAAGGTTTCGTGGCTGACGTTTGACAACTCAAACCTTCAGCTCCCTCCACAGATTTTCAATGGGATTAAGGTCTGGAGACTGGCTAGGCCACTCCAGGACCTTAATGTGCTTCTTCTTGAGCCACTCCTTTGTTGCCTTGGCCGTGTGTTTTGGGTCATTGTCATGCTGGAATACCCATCCACGACCCATTTTCAATGCCCTGGCTGAGGGAAGGAGGTTCTCACCCAAGATTTGACGGTACATGGCCCCGCCCATCGTCCCTTTGATGCGGTAAAGTTGTCCTGTCCCCTTAGCAGAAAAACACCCCCAAAGCATAATGTTTCCACCTCCATGTTTGACGGTGGGGATGGTGTTCTTGGGGTCATAGGCAGCATTCCTCCTCCTCCAAACACGGCAAGTTGAGTTGATGCCAAAGAGCTCCAATTTGGTCTCATCTGACCACAACATTTTCACCCAGTTGTCCTCAGAATCATTCATATGTTCATTGGCAAACTTCAGACAGGCATGTATATGTGCTTTCTTGAGCAGGGGGACCTTGCAGGCACTGCAGGATTTCAGTCTTTCACGGCGTAGTGTGTTACCAATTATTTTTTTGGTGACTATGGTCCCGGCTGCCTTGAGATCATTGACAAGATCCTCCCGTGTAGTTCTAGGCTGATTCCTCACCGTTCTCATGATCATTGCAACTCCACGAGGTGAGATCTTGCATG